TGGCGCCCGTACAGGCCGTATGTCACACTGACGACTTCTAGATGAAAAGGACTGACATCCAGGAAAGCACTCAACAACAAGTCAGTGCTTTACTGACTTTTATGGACCTCTCCCACTAAATCCTCTGGTTTGTTTCCACTCATTATTTATTTCATTTACTGTGCATAACACATGGATGCTGGTTAGACAGACTGAAGCACAGAGGCATACTTTAGACAGGAGGGTTTATTTATTCTGCTCCTTTAAGGTTGTGAGTGGGTGTGTGAATGTGGAGGTAATTGATTTTCTGCATGGACTGCTGTTAATGCCATGGATGGAGTCAAAGGGAAACTATGTGTTTTGGTTCTGACACACACACTCAAACGGAGAGCGCTTTCACAGGGTTAGCCAGGATGGAAATAAAGGCAGAGGAAATTAAAAGCCAGACAACTTTCAGGGTGTGTTTCTACATCTGTCTTTTTTAGCTCTGAAAGTGGGTTTCCTTTATTCATCTGCACAAACACTGACCTTTTCAAAAATGCTGAATGAGCTAAGAAGATGCAGCCAGGTGAAAAGTATAAACTTCTTCTGAGACGGTGAGTCCATCACAAGTTTAAGGGGTCTCAAGCATGCCAACATTTTACAGAAAAAAGCAAGAGTTTTACTCAAAAATGTAATCTCTTCTCCATTGAGTGGTGCAGTGAAGACATGTGTATGTAGGCCGATCCAGAAGTCAGCATAGCAAGGGCTCCCTGGATTAAAAGCAATGGGATTTTTGGAATATTGGAGAAAATATGATCTGTGGCAAACACAAGTTAATAATACTTAAACGTTTGCTCCCGTCAAAAGTAAAAAGCTATAAACCAATGGCTACGCATCACCAGAGCTAAGCTAACGGCGACTAATGTTCAGTGTGATGACTTTTAGTAGTTTATCCAGTCACATTTATGACTCTGTTTTAATACATACACATACGATTTTGAGATTCATGAGGTGGATATTTAATGACATATTTTATTAAAAATATCATAGAAATACCATGTTAACCACAAATCGTATTTAAAGGTCCCATGTCATGGCCATTTCTACTGATCATATTTCCATTGTTGAGGTCTACTAGAATAGATTTACATTGTTCAATGTTCCAAACTCACATTGGTTTCTCATACAGCATCTCTGTATAGTATGTGTATTCACTCTCTGTCCTACACGGCTTGTTGGAGCTCCTGCCCCCCCCCTCCTCCCTGTGAGCCCAGTGTGCTCTGATTGGTCGGACGTTGCGAGGCTCGTTGCGAGGAGCGGACAGGTTGCCGGGTCGGCGATACAGCGAGAACAAGCGAAACTCATCCTGAGCACACACAAACACTCACAGCCGAAGTAAAAACAATAAGTGTGGCTTGATATTGAGAAAGAAAAAGGTTTATAACGCTGTGAGAATGGGTCTGCGGAGAGCATTTCTCCGCCATCCCAACTCGTCTATTACCAACCAGGGAGCTCTATGCAAGTCAATGGGGACTCCCTGTTAGTTAGCCAAGGGATCCTGGTGTGTGAGGTGCTCCGCGGATTGGTCCATTTGGGACAATCCGGTCATTTGTTGTTGATTTGGGTAGTCACACGTCACAGAACCCAGGAAGCAAACAATGGAAAATGAGAAATCTCCAACGAGGCCTTCTGGGGCAGCATAGACGGGTCTTTTCTGTGTTAGAGTTTTACTCCCTACAGGGTGTACTTTGAGGGTTTTTGACTCTGCAGACCGTTTACATGCAGAAAAACCTTCATAACACACAAGAGGACGGGTAATAACCGGAAAAGCATGACATGGGCCCTTTAAGGCGTCTAAACACGTTGTAAATACCCTTGATTTCAAGAAAAGGAACTGAAAGGGGTACAATGCTGACTCATTCCCACACCAATCTTTTGCTAAGACTTGCAAGTACCAATAATTATACTTTAAAGTGGACCTATCATGCTATATTTGAACAATATATTGTAGGGCCATACCTATATAAAGTATATAAATATAGTTTTTTTTCAAAATACCAAACAGACCCTGCATTTTAGCCATGCCTCATTTCGCTCCATTTGCTCTTCCCAGCCCTGTTTTTGCAGGGGGCTGATTCTGTGAGCTGCAGCTGACCACGCCCCCCTGCAGGAGAGGGGAGCGTGCTCTGATCAGCTGCTGTGCTGTCAGAAGAGGGGGAGAAAAATAGATCTCCGTCCTCCGTGTTTTATTATAGAGTCGTTATTCATTTGTTTTAAAGCTCAATAAATAACAAAGAAGACCTTTGACCGGCACTTTTCTAATTTTGTCCGGAAGATTTAAACTTTAACGGACATCTTGACCGGCGAAAGAAAACCTAACTGAAACTCTGCCGCACGGTCCCCTCGTTCCTTGGAAGAGGCGGAGAGGTGGGTGTTTGTCATCTGCTGCTGGACTAACCGGAGAGAATTACAGTGCTTGCCTCGACGGGGAGGGATTGCATTGAATTAAAGCAGCTGGAGCAAACGCTTGCCTCGGGGAGGGAGAAAAAAAGCCACAGCGGAGAATAAACAGAAGGGTAACCATGGCAACCATGCGCGGGAAGTCTTCTTTGCTGCTTTTGTGGCAGACTACAGCGCCACTTACAGGCCTGGCATATGTACTACAGCGTCTCCAGCGCTTTCGAGCGGCAATGGCCGGTCGTGGCCCAACCCCACATTCCCCTGATAGGTGGAGAGTTGGCCCAATAGCCGTAGCGCCACCGTCCTGACGTCAGGACAGTGTTCAAATCTGGATCAGTTTTTATCAGATCCGTTGCAGCCCCTTTTTTAGAGATTTGGGTATGGAGGAAAATAGAGAGGGTTGTGTTTTCTGACACTTGGTGAGTTCCCTGGAACACCGGGGACACATATTCATGTATAAAAGACGTCCAAAAGTGCATTTTGCATGATAGGTCCCCTTTAAGTAAGACTAGAGGCGTTTTTATTGAACCTTGCAGCATGTTTTCTGTTTATCTGCTTGGGCCTATAGATGGTAAAAATGAACACAACTCGATGCTATAGGAAATATAAACGTACATTTTAAGTCAATAATTACTTTTATATTAATAACTCACCCTGTGTTACCTGGAATTGTTGAAGAAATCTCAATGGTGAATGTACAATAGAAAAACTGAATGAGAGAATCCTCATCAAAAAGGTGACTTATGTAACAAAAGCAAAACTACATGGGTAGCTAGCAGGGGAGGTAACCATAGAAACAAAACATAACTAGCTGTTATCACCACAGGGCACAAGGTGGGCCTCACAGTGAGCAGAGCAAAATGCTTATCATGTGAATGCAGCTTTAGATGACTTTAGAATCTGGGTTTTTTAAGTGAACAGTAACACATTTTGAGTGAGTCACCAGTAAGGGCTCAAGCCATGGGATGTTTCAGTTATTTGTTCCTGGCTGAACATTAATTATAACAAAAGGCTGATTCAAACAGCAACAGCAGATAGAAACAGAATTACCTAATTATTTCCCCAGAGAAAAACTTATTTCCAGAAATACGTCCAAGAGTGTTAAATTAAAACAAGAGTATAACGTCTGCATGAATAAGAATGACTGGCAAGTGTTAGAATATAATTGGGAGGGATGAAACCCTCTTTAATGGTCACACATGCAGAGCACACAGCACACACAGTGACATTTGGCCTCTGCATTTAACCCATCCTAGTACCAGGAGTCTAGTACCAGGAGCAGTGGGCAGCTATTGTACAGCGCCCACAGTGTTATTTGGTATTCTTGAGCAACAGGGATGACAATATGTGTATGAGAAAGACAAGTAGACGAAGAGCAGAAGTGAAGAGACTGAGATGAAAGAGGGCAGAGAGATACTGAAGGAGAGAGTTATGACTGCTGTGAGGATTACTGAGGCTGCCAACAAGTGCAGCTGGCATTCCTCACTTCAATATTTGGCACAAAAACAAAGAAAAGGGAAAAGTGTTAAAAGGCAACTACACTGTTATGTCTCCTCAATCAGAAATATAACATATTTCCAGAAAATATGAAGTGTTCAGTCAGAACTAGCAAAATGGGGGTTTTAAGGCTAGAATAAACAACCAAGATGATTAAATAGTCATAGCTCTATCCATCTTTTTGTCATTTAAAGTGACTGTATAGTATAAACAGTTGAAGAACTACTCTCACCAAGTCACAACAAAGGCAGTAGAAATTAAAACAAGAACAAAATAAACCTGTATGTCAACCTTTGGTAATATTTATTTTTGTTTCTTCGCCGAAATCTAATTAAATGACAGTCGGCAGACACAATTTAATGTAAATCAATGGATTAAATGAATCTACAATATGTACATTGGAATGTGACATTAACTTTCAGCAATAAAATGTCAATACAAAACTAAACTAAAACATACATAATAAATCTTGCATTGTTTCAATCACTGTTCTTTGAATGTTATTAGAGAAAGAATAGAGGCTTTTCCTAACAAACTCTATCATGATAATCACCTCTTTATTGGTTACTCTCTTTTACAACACAAGTACCGAAGCTAGCGAGGGTACCAGAAACTATTCTGCTAAAGCCTTATGCTGTCTCCATCAGGATTACTGCTATTCTGCTAAACTAAGCTAGTGACCTTTAACCAGGGGTTATTTGGTGGCTGTTGCTTATTCGTCTCATTTATGTGGTATAAAAAGCTCAATTATAAACTTACATTTAGAAAAATAATAATCATCAAAATGTTATTTAACTAAGGAAAACACCTTGTGGGAAAAGTGTGTAGCTTCAACTTTAACCAAAGCTAGGTCTTGCTAGCTCACTAGCTTAAATTGCTATTGCGCAAAGTTTTAAATGCTGTTCATCTAAATAATTCATGTAGTTGCTAGGTTTGTGGTTTTATGGGGTTTTCCAGTGAATGCTGGTGTGATTTGTAAGTTATTTTCCTGTTCTAAAGTCTAAAGTCTTTCAAACAAGAACACATTTGGATCGCAGCAGTTTATATGTTTATCTTTGTAAGAGATTAGATGCAGTCATTACCTTAAAGAAGCTACCGCTCCTGTCTGTGAGGCCGCTGGGGGGGTTCCCAGGCGGCGAGCTGGAGGCCATGTTTACTTCCTGTCCACAGGACTGGTCCCTCTCAGCGTCTGCAGCTCTGTGGGTCAAAAATACACTTCAGTCCAGACACTTGGTGCGGTGCAACCAGAGGAAATTCCAGCTTTAGCCACAGTCAGTATTATTGAGGTGCCGGTCTGCTGGAAAACTTTCAATGTGACTCTCTCCCTTCTCTCCCCCCATCTTCTAGCCTTGAACACATTCACATCTCCTTTCATTTTCCTGCCTCTTCTGTCTTTGTTCCTTCTTTCCCATTATTCAAGATAATTGCTTAGTCCTTTTTTTTATCTCATTCCAATCCTCAGTTTATGTTTGGCCTGAAATCTGTCCTCTTTCCTCCTCCTCCTCTCACATTTCATTTTTCCTTTATTTTTTCCCCATGTCCATACATACTGAATTCCTTTTCCATCTTGTCTTCAGTTCAAGGACCTTCTCTCCCATTTCAACAGAAGGTTGCTTCGGTTTATCTCTCTTTTTAATATGTAATCTCTGTCAATGTGTCCCTCCCCCTCCTTCTTTCTCTCTCACTGTCTCGCCCTTGTCTCCAGCCAGACTAGGACTATTAGAGAGCCCCTCCCTCCTGGCAGAGGTTCACTCAGTCCTCAAAAACAGATGAGATGCTCCATTTGTCCATCAGTCCCCCACATGCACTTTTATCTCACACAGGAAGGAAGCAGGCTCAGGGGGAGAAGAGGAACAAACAGAAACAAAAATAACTGAGGGAGAGAGTGAGGAGGGTTAGTGCAGGGAGTTTTGTTCGGCAGCATTTAGCAAAATGGAAACATCAGTAAAAAGAAAAAAACTGGCCACTGTGGCCTGAGTTTAACAAGGCAGGGAAAAAATAATTGGGCCATATCTGCCACATTTGCAGTGGTACTTTTTTATTGACTTCAAGTTGGACGATTGTGAAAGTTCAACCTGTTAAGCCCTGAGCCTGTTTTTCAGGCCTCAGGCTCGAAAATGACATTCCCAGAACAAATGACCATATCTTCACTTCTAAAAGGGGTAAATGAATAATCTTTTTTCTCAAAGCAATGATAAACCTGTGAGTTGGATGTAGGAAAGTCACCCTTGAATGATGGGATGGTAGACTAAAAGCTTTAGGAATCCAAACTATAACATATAATAAGTACCCTGTATCAGGATTGATGCAAAACAAGTTAAATTTGACCTTTTTAGAGAGATTTAGAAAAAGAAACCCACTTCTGGGGTCATTTGGGTGGATTTTCCATATCTCTGGAACCCATCGGTCGATTTTGATGATTGACACCTCTTTTTAACCGTTAGAGCCAATAGAATCGAGGGGAAGTTCCTAAAATCCATCTAAACATTACCCATTGGTGAATAGAGTGATGCGTAGCCAGAATGCCCAAAACCGGAAGCTGTCATACACTCTCGTAGCTATCATAGCAGCTATATATGAAAACTGCCATAAATATGACGATGGATTATCAGTAATCATTTCAAAGTGACACAGACACATTGGATTAACCTATGGATTAACCTTCAGCAGTGTTTTTATCGTTTTAATGCCATTGAACACAACTTTTGATCAGAACAACAGCTAAGGTAAGACAATGTCCCGTTGCTCAGTAAAGCTCCGTGTTGTGATGTCTGTGTTTGCTTCCCCTGTCGCGAGTTCTGATCGCTCAGTGATGATACCTATACCCCTATAATCTGTGGAGTCTCAGCTTGCTAATCAATATCTTGTTTGTGCAGATCCGATATGTAATAAGGGTACCTAGAGTTCTGTGCTAAGTGTGTTAGCATTTTTTCGCTCAGGGCTCATTTAGACGCTTCTTGTGAGACTTGTGTTTTGTTTCGGTAAAAATGGTTCGTATCGACAGTAAACTGAGTTTCTTCCCGTTAAGTGGGTATGACACATTAATAGGTTTTTAAATGTTAAGAAGCCCTCAGACGCTGTTTCGTGAAAAAAAAACCTGCAGCCCCCGCGGGCGGGGGCCTCCGGGTTTAACGGGTTCAAAAAGCTCTTTATTCTTCTCATACTGCCTGTGCTGCAGCATCTCTTTTCACCCTCTGTCTGAAACCAGAGCCCAGTCTGCTCTGATTGGTTAGCTGGCCGGCTCTGTTGTGATTGGTCAACCGCTTAGAGATCCCCGCCCCTTAGCATCACGCACAATGTGTTGAAAAGAGGCCAGGGTGTTACATAGTGATGTCATTATGTTACAGAAGTGTGTGGCAGAGAAACTCCCTCTGGAGGGAACTTTAGGATGTCAGCCTTTACCGACCATTTACAAGCACAAAAAACATTAAAACATACTACTGGAACCCCAGAAAGCATAAAACTGTCCCTTTGATGTATAGTGTCGAAATCTATCAAAAATAAAAGAGTTTCCCACTGAGAAAATTCACACAACCTCAGTTATAAAAACAAGAAAAGCGAAGTTGTTCAGTCAGATTCAATCAATAAAACAAGTGTGAAGGATGACAGAATAATCAATAAAGGAAATACTTGTCAGTTACAGCCCAACAAACTGCAATCACAATCATTTGTTGCCAAGTCAGTGCATGCAAATCCTCGTGTGTGTGTTTCTGTGAATGTGAGCCTCAGCTGCAAGTAAACAAAGTCCAATCTGAGCATGCACCCCCCCTCATAGAAACACAAAGAAGCCCCCTGGCTGTGCAGCACAGCAACATCACAAGAAGACTTCACACACACATGCACTGATATATGGTATAATCTAGCATATACAAGATTTATAGACACAGTTAAATATCAAGATGTGCAAACACATAACAACTAATCATACAGTTTGAGAAAAAGACACACTTAATTGTGTTGTACATAATAACAGAACAGAAAGACAGCCGGACTTCATAAGGCTCTGGTATTTGTGATGCTGAGACCCTCATCTTATCCCAGTGGGGGTCATATTATGAGCAGTCTTTATCAGTGCTAATAAATAGCTTCAGTGTTTGATGCTTGTGAATACAGATGTTTGTTGTTTTCATTATAAATTCTACTTAACTATGATTAATGATCAATTTCATATGTTTGGCTTACAACTATAACTTCAGTCCATTTGACTATTTATCTAACTATTTATCTGTTGTAACTAGTCTTTGAAGATGATTAATAGGCAGACTGCACACACAAGAACATTTGACTGGTTTCTATGTGTCGGGATGTAACATGCTGTATTAGCAAACATTAGAATACAACAGGACCCCATCGTATCCTATTAGTCAGAGTGGTGCAGGAATCAGTATTAAACCAGGAAATGAGTTAGCCTTATAGCACTTCCGGGATCCCTCGTCTTGAAGTCAATTGGGTTTTTTGGGTTACATTTTTGGTTATATTCCTGAAATAAGGTGTGTGGTTAACAGACGTTTAGTGTTTCAGTTTGAAGTCTGAAGGTTTTATGTGTTTTAAAAACAGTAGTGGCTAACAAGTGGCTAAATGAGACTTTTACATGACATTACGCTGAACATTAGCCGCCTTTAGCTTAGCGGTGCTGACAGAGGCCCTGATGTGGTTTGTTTTTAACCTAACATTAGCTTTTTACTTCCGGTCATTTGCTTTTACGCTTCGACTATTACAAAAGTGGTGTTAACTTGTAGAAATTATCCTGCTGATCAAAACGTGTAAGTATCATAAACGTGTGTTAGCAAACAAAAACAACATAGATTTTTTACAAGGAAGCCCTATAGTGATGCTAACTTTTAGGTCCGCCTACAAAAACACTTAATCACTGCCCCACTCTACTGCATGTCTGTCAGTCCTGGGAGTGATCCCTCTTTAGTACCTGAGGTTTCCTCCACTTTTCTCCTTTGTTAATCCACTGAGGATCAAAGGACAGAGGGTGTCACATGCTGTACAGATTGTAAAGCCCCCTGAGGCATATATGTAATCTGTGATAGTGGGAAAATAAATGAAACTTGACTTGTTGCTATTCCCTCACAGTTTCTCTGTACTTGTTAGACTAACATAAGGTTTGTGTGTCAGTAGTGAGATCTACCGAAGGCTAACAAACAGGGCTCCATGCTGCTGGAGGAGGGAGCTGCACACAGCTGCACTAACCACTGCAGAGGAGAAGAACGTCCACAAGTGGGTCCTGTTCTGGCCCTGAGGCAAACCAGATGATCCTGTGTGTGTGTGTGTGTGTGTGTGTGTGTGTGTGTGTGTGTGTGTGTGTGTGTGTGTGTGTGTGTGTGTGTGTGTGTGTGTGTGTGTGCGTGCGTGCGTGCGTGCGTGCGTGCGTGCGTGCGTGCGTGCGTGCGTGCGTGCGTGCGTGCGTGCGTGCGTGCGTGCGTGCGTGCGTGCGTGCGTGCGTGTGTGTGTGTCAGGAGGACAGAGGGAGGTATGGGTTGACCTATTATTTTTACATACCAAACACGGCAACACATTTTTCTTTCAAAACCGCTCCAAAAATCTTTGTTGTGTGTGTTTGTGAGCCACAGAGCTGGATTTGGTTTTGTGTAAGTTCAGCTGAACCCACTGGCCCATGTTGTGTTGGTTATAGAAGGAATGTGTTCACTCGCAGATTTTTTTACTCAAGGATTACTTTCATTTTTTTTTCCGTGGAATGTTTATGAACCACCAGTCAAACACCAGCCTGACCAACATCCTGACCTCTAATCACAGCTTTACAAGTCTGCAGCAAATGCTCCAAATCACCGTCAAACTTCATACGGCACTGGAATAAATCACGGTGAGAAACAGGCACCAGCACCGCCCAAACTCTCCATTAAAGGTCACCCCAGAAAAGTCGGCACTGTTTTCTCTGGGCTACACCCCTTTAAATTAGTACCAGGAACACATGCTCAGACAAAGGGTCCAGGAGTGAAGTGTCTCAAAATAACTTTGTTGAGATTTCAGGGGAATTCAGGGAGGAATAAAGATGAGGAGATGGAGAAGATGCTTTCAAATGAACGGAAATAGTGTAATCACCTATTGCGCTTGTTATTGTTGAGTCACGGATGAGAAGGGTAAACACACACCGGAAAGTAGATTCAAATTACTTTGGCTCAGTCATGCTGTAAACAAGACTAGGTAAGCAACCAATCAGGCGACATGCC